CACAAAGCGTCTATTCACCTAATCGCTCATGTCCTTCCCACAGTTGAAATACCCTTGACGAATGAGTATTGCGACTCGAGGCGCATTCAGCTGCTTAAAGTTTTTCGCTCCGTGTTGTCCTCTGCCTAGCTTCAACATAAAAACTACCTCTATTTCGAGTAAGCACTTCGGAAGCTCCTGGTTATGCCTGTCCTGCTTTCTCGAGTTTTATTTCACCTATAACAATGACTTTTTTCTGTCGTCTGAAACATTTATTGAGCGCAAAAACAATAGAGGAAACTCATTTCATGCAGTGTTATACGTGTACGGAGCAGCTGTTCATTGCAACATCCTAGGCTATTTCACTTCTAATCAAATTTTATACGATTCTCATAAAGAGCAAATATCTTCATTCGAAATGGCGCTGCTGGATCGATCTTACTGTCGATTCTCGCTTCAAAAGATCTGGAACTTGCTTTTTCTGCCTGATTTCGAACAGAGTCAGTGGAAGGTGTATTGGAATTTTCTGTTTGTATCTTCTCGCAGCGCTTTAACCATGTTCAAAACGGCTACAAGATTTACAATGAGTGTCGAAGTCTCGCGGGATTTTCCATCCCCTAAAACTATGACTCCTTTAAAGATTGTATGAGTGACTGGCAACAACTGCAATTCATACATTTTCCACTGAAACATTTGAAAGGACTATATAAGGTCTGATTTTGTATCTTCCTTACATCTAATATAGAAAATCAATCACTCTGCTTTTTTTCATTCAGCAACAATCTCGTGACATCTACCAATCATGATTACCGTCTGATCATACGTTATCACCATATCAATAGCGTAATCAGATTTGCGTCTCATTCAAGATTATTGAAATCGAAAACTGCAAGGTTCTGGTACTAGTTATATTACTTGGTAGAAATTTTATGCGCATGGCGAAAAATGTATGCAAACCCTCAACTTCGATGTTGGTAATAACTTTTCCATCGCACGTCTTTGATTTGCAGAACTTACGTTTTTAATGACGTAAGTATAATAGCTTTCTTAGCTTCAGTGAGTGAATATCATGCCGTAACATCGTATTTAATATCTCAAAACTTTGTAGAATAGCAATAAACTTTTTATTTTAGTTTTCGGGTTATTCTTAATAATCTGAAGAGAATTAAAACCTAACAACGGCTACGACATCAGCTGTAACCTCCA